CACACACACACACACACACACACATATATATATATATATATATATGGTATGATATTTGGACCAAGAAAACTTTGACATTTATTTGTCGTCCTGCAATCCTGTGTAAAAGTTTTAAACCACCACTCCACTTTATTGCTTCCAAGCACCCAGACTTTATTGTGATCTTTTAAAGTAGTCCGGATCAATACGTCTGGAGGGCTTTCAAAGGTTTTCTTTAAACTTTATTGTAATTTTATTCCTTTTCTCTCCAGTGTTTCTACAACAGCATATTGTGCAGTGTGTTAAAAAATGGCAAGAGTAGGAAAAAAATATAGAAGTTAAACTGTCCCGATGCCTGTTCAATAGTCCAAGAAAAACAAGGTTAACAAGGTTGAGTCAGACAATGGCCTGGCCCAAAACCACAATAAATAAAGAGGAAGCAGGCAGGAACAACTTAAAATGTTTTATTTTTAACTCCCTGTCTATTAGCTCCAAATCACCTGATGAATCTGAAACACTTACATTCACTCACACACAGGGATCAGGTTTGTGACAAAACGTTTTGCCTTTTCTCCAAAAGTCTGCTTATAAGACTGTGTTTGCCTGCAGCTCCTCAGACTGAAGAAGTCTTCTGGATAAAAGATGAAATGTTTCAACAAAAAGAAACCCATCCAGAGAGATACAAATCAAACTTTAAGTTCATCGTTTCACAAACCATCCATGTTAAAAACTCCTCGTTCTTGTTTCAGAGTTTATATATAGTAATTCGTATCCTCTCTGCATGTGGACCTGACAGTTTGTCGGTGAACACAGGAGACTGAATCAGTCATTCGCTGCTTTTACTTCTCCACAGATGCAACCACCTACGCTCACTTCCTGTTCAATGCATTTGACATGGACAGAAGCGGCTCGATCCGCTTTGAGGACTTYGTCATCGGCCTGTCGGTGCTGCTCAGAGGTTCGGTCACAGAGAAGCTCAACTGGGCCTTCAACCTCTACGACATCAACAAGGACGGCTACATCACCAAAGAGGTGACATAACCTGACTGAATACTTTTATTTTGAAATGTAGTGGTGGTTCAGCTATATCTTGATTTTATTGATGTCGTGACACTTAAAGGTTTGTTTTTATACAACCCCTGGCAAAAAAGTATGGAATCACCCGTCTTGGATGAGCACTCATTCAGACATTTCATTCTGTAAAACAAACTCAGATCAAAAACATGATACAATAATAAGGTCATTCCAAAATGCAACTTGTTGGCTTTCAGGAACACTCCAAGAAATGAAGAGAAAACATTGTGGAAGTCAGTGAAAGTTACTTTTATTGACCAAGCACAGGGAAAAAATATAATAATAATTATATAATGCTCTTAATATCATGGTTGTGATTTTGATGAGTGGTATTATCTACATATGGAATCACTCAGTTCTGAAGAAAAAAGTATGGAATCACTCAAATTGGAGGTAGAAAATAAAGACACACCCAGTCAATTTCCTTTCTCTAAATGGACACCTGCCTCAAATTAGATCTGCTCGTCAGTCTGCAGTTAAAACCACCTGCAGTCATGACACCTTGGAGGGCTGCTGGACGAAGTGGAGTGGCAAGAACCATGGCTCCCAACAAGAGAAATGTCCCTTGGAACAAAAGAGAGGATTGTGAAACTTCTTGAAGAAGCTAACTCTTCATGCATGGTTGCTAAAGATGTCGGCTGTTCAGTCAGCTGTATCCAAGATATGGACCAAATACAAACAGCATGGAATGGTTGTTAAAGCCAAGCATACTGGTAGACCAAGAAAGACATCAAAGCATCAAGACAAACAACTTAAGGCCATTTGTCTTGAAAACHGAAAAAGTACAACTAAACAGATGAAGCATAAATGGGAGGAAGCTGGAGCTAATGTATGTGACTGAACTGTAAGAAATCACCTAAAGGAAATGGGATTTCAATACAGGAAAGCTAAAAGAAAACCATTATTGACACCTGAACAAAAATGAACAAGACTGCAATGGGCTAAGGAGAGGCAATCATGGACTGTGGATGACTGGATGAAAGTTATCTTCAGTGATGAGTCAAGAATCTGCATTGGACAAGGTGATGATGCTGGAACTTTTGTTTGGTTCCGTTCCAGTGAAATTTATGAAGAGGACTGCCTGAAGAAAACAACCAAATTTCCACAGTCATTGATGATATGGGGCTGCATGTCAGGCAAAGGCACTGGGGAGATGACTGTGGTTCATTCTTCTATCAATGCACAAGTTTACATTGACATTTTGGACAGTTTTCTCATCCATTCAATTGAACAGATGTTTGGAGGTGATGAAACAATTTTCCAAGATGACAATGCACCGTGCCATAGGGCAAAAACAGTGAAGGCATTCCTTGGAGAAAGGCGCATTCAGTCTGTGTCATGGTCTGCAAATAGTCCAGATCTCAACCCAACTGAAAACCTGTGGTGGAAATAGAAAAAAATGGTCCACAAGAAGGCTCCGACCTGCAAAGCTGATCTGGCAACTGCTGTCAAAGGGARTTGGCACCAATTTGATGAAGAATATACTGTTTGTCACTCATCAAGTCCATGCCTCAGAGACTGCAAGCCATTATAAAAGCCAAAGGTGGTGCGACTAAATACTAGTGATGTATTTTGAATGGTCTTTTGTTTATCTGTTTTTCATGATTCCATACTTTTTTCCTCAAAATTGAGTGATTCCATGTTTTTCCCTGTGCTTGGTCAATAAAAGTAACATTCATTGACTTCCACAATGTTTTCTCTTCATTTCTTTGTTCTGAAAGTCAACAAGTTGCAYTTTGGAATGACCTTATTATTGTATCATGTTTTGGATCTGAGCTTGTTTTACAGAATGAAATGTCTGAATGAGTGCTTATCCAAGACTGGTGATTCCATACTTTTTGCCAGGGGTTGTATTTACTCAAAAATTCACATTTTGTCTGACTGTTAAGGGAAAATTCTACATTGATTGTTTTTTTCTTTAATTATTTATTGTATCATGAACATCAAAAGAGCAAACAATCTGAAAAACATATACTCGCTTTAAATCTTGCCTAATTACTAAAAACTACAAGTTTAWGTTGATATATTTTCATTAAAATCTCTCTTGTGGTGAGTTTTATCATGACACAGTTTGGCTCATAGTGTTGTAGATAAATCTAAACATCAAAAGTAAAAAAAAATAAATAAATTACCCACTCAAGTTTTATTAGCTTCTGTCTTTTCTTGTTAGGAGATGCTGGCCATCATGAAGTCAATCTACGACATGATGGGGCGCTACACGTACCCCTGTGTGAGAGACGACGCTCCGTCCGAGCACGTCGACAAGTTCTTCCAGGTTCGGAGTGCTCAAATAAAAAAAAAAAAGAATTACTCAAATGCAATGTGCTGCGGGACGTCTTGAAGAAAATAATAATTTTTTTTCCAACCCGTTCTTCGATCAGAAAATGGACAGAAACAGAGACGGCGTAGTGACGATTGAAGAGTTCATCGAGACGTGTCAGAAGGTGACCCACACTTTTTCATTCACCATTCTAACACACACACACACACACACACACACACACACACACACACACACACACA